ATGTGAGGATGTCAATCTGATTAAAGTATAGTGTGTATATGCATGGAATGCCATGATGAATATCATGTATATGGTTAAGTCCTTAGGAACAATGGTTATACACTATAACATAAACTAGGAATTTCAAAATATTCTGTCTGCAATAATGCAAGGGGTAGAAGGATGGAGTAATAAGGTCAAAATGCTAGGTGTACAAATGTGAAAATTGAACAGCATAGCTTACTGAGATTTGTTTGGGAATCGGATAAGGAAGAGAGAGTGACATAAGGGCTAATTCTGATCAAGGTATATCCTATTCATATATAGACAAGTCAAAAATTTCTTAAAATTAATTTTTAAGTGGGTCATCAGTGGCTCCTATCTATAATCCTAGCTATTCAGGAGACTGAAGTCTGAGGACTGTGTTTTAAAGCCAGCAGGGACAGGAAAGTCCATGAAACTTGTATCTCCAAGTAATCACCAAAATATGCCAGAAGTAGAGTTTTGGCTCAAGTGGTACAGCTCTAGCCTTGAGCAAAAAAAGCTCAGAGACTGCACTCCAGCAGAGTTGAAGCACTAGGACCAGCATAAAAAATAACTATTTAAATTAAAAAGATGAGGGAACCCAGAGTTTCCTAGAAAGAAACTCATCCATTTAGGAATTTGTGGCTGGCTATGATAGCACACCAGGTGCCTATTCTTCATGAAAGGGAAAGAACAACAGGGAAAATACTAACAGTGTAGGCTTAGCTGTTGGAGTGACAGTGAGGAAATGTACTAGTCAGTCAGTATGGGACACTGACATTGCTTACAGAATTCTGGTCACTGATGCTGCTAGCAGAATCACAAGTTAGACTCCACTGGTCGCACTCCAGGGTTTCACTAGCTTGCATTTTAAAATGTTCCTGAAGTCTGGCAAACCAATTCCAAGGCTTCTTAACTTCACATTCAAGTGTCCCAGCAGTCACCCCTCTTCTAGTGCCAATTTTACATATCAGTCAGACATTGCATTGCTGTGATACAATAATGAGAAAAGATTCCTAGTTTCCTAGGTTCCACACTATTATGGGAAGAAGTTGCTGCAGACCACAGCGGCTCACATCATAGCAGCCAGGAAGAACAAAGGGAGACAGAGAGAATTGAGGACAAAATATATCTACCCAGAAACCAACTTCTACAATGTAAGACCTTTTTTGTGGCTTTTGGAAAGTGAATACACATAGGAGCATGTCCAAACAGTGGTTGTATGAAGTGAAGTATATAGTCTTCCCTGGCTAAGCCCATATAACTCAACAGTGAGACTTCTCAGTCCCCCATTAACATTTTGGACAATAAGGCTGTCATGAGCATCCCTGAGAAATAAACTTCTTCCCGAGAGGAGCTCTGTGTCCTTACCATTCTCAACATGCTGCTGCTATGCATCTATTGTGTTTACTAGTAAAAGACCCAGGGACATGTGTAAGCACAGAAACTCCACTAAAGTGCATGAATTATTAATGAATGATGATTTTTGTGATAAACAACCGAGTGTCCTATAATTGGTAATGGCTGTACATAGGAGACTGTATATTGTTCTGGGCCTTTTTCTTATTATTTGTTTGGTGGCACTGGAGATTAAACCCAAGGCCACATACTAACTGGGCTTGCTTGAGTAGATGGTGCTCTGTTATAATTGTTCAATAGGAAAGACATTCCACCTGTCACTTAGGACAAATGAGCCTCCAGAGTCTCACAACATTACATTGTGTGTGTGTGTGTGTGTGTGTGTGTGTGTGTGTGTGTGCATGTGCATGCGCACGCATGTGTGCTACCTCTGGAGATTGAACTCAGGAACTGGATGTTGTCCTTGAGCATTTTTCTCAAGGCTAGCACTCAACCACTGAAGCCACATGTCCATTTCCAGCTCTTTGGGTGCTTACTTAGAAATAAGAGTCTCAAGGACTTTCCTTCCCAGCCTGGCTTTGATGTATGATGCTCAGATCTCAGATCTCAGTAGCTTTCAGGCATAAACCACCTATTTCATATTTTTGACATAACAAAATTGTGTGCTCTTTAAAGTGGCAAATGTCCCTGTAGAAGTTTCTTGAGGAAAGCTGAATATGAACAGCAGAACACCAGTGAAAAGCCATGACACTTTGTGAAGTTTCATGCTGCCCTCTGACTCCTCTACACATAAGTACAAAAACACAACCAGAAGCTCAAGATTTATTCCTGACTCTTGTTTATGTATTGTCACATGTGTAGAAAAGGCACCTTACTTATACAAACCACATACCATTTTGTCTTTGTAAGGAAGATGATCCTAAAGGCCATTTCTTGTGAATGGAAATATATACAATACAAATTTTAGGTGTTTATGCATAGGTATTTCTTAATTGCTTAAACTTAAAAAAATACTAGGCTATGGACAAAATGCTGTGTGGTCATAGGTCACAAGATAGCACCACAGCATTCTGAGCAACACTGAACAAAACTCCCTGAGTTATAGGAGGCAGTCAAAGCAACGGGGCCTCTGCATAATGCCATTGTTTTACAACTATGGAGCAGCATAAAATACATTGCAAAAAAATACATTACAGAAAAAGTCAGATAAGGTGATGTTAGGAAAATGAACCCTAAGATATATATTTAAATGTTTTTTCTTTCATGCATTTGTTTCTAATTTATTTATAAGATTATTTCTTAGTTGCTTTGTATGTCCCTCCCCCACAGTATAACCCCTGCTTTCACTGTATTTGATGTCGGTATACTTTGTGGAGGGGAAGGGGAAAAACAAGTCGTTTAAATAAGTATACAGGTGGACCCGTTGCAACGATAAGTCCACGTTGTCATGTTGAAAACGAACTTTACAACTTTGGTGGGGGGGGAGGGTTGGGTGGGGGGGCAGGGGGAAGATGGGAAGGGATGGGAAGGGGAAACAAAGGAGGAGGCTACAATGCTTGATAAGAAATGTACTCATTATCTTGCCCATGTAATTGTAACCCCTCTGTACGGTATTTTCACAATAAAAAATAAATTAAAAAATATATTACAAAAATTGGCACTTTTTGCAGTGGCACCGCTTTCCCACAAATATTACAAAATGCAGATATACATAATTTGCAACATAGAAATAGGCCATTGAGCACTGAATACCTAACTGTGTTAGGTAGCAAGTACTATTAACAGTGTTGGAGAAGCTGTGTCTCTAGCAGGCTAACTTGCCTAAAATGAGCAGTCTAGAAAGAACCAGACTCTAGCTCTCAGGTTTTAAGAGTGTGTAAGTCAGCATCTTCTTAACTACTAAACTGCCTATATTTATCAGATTGCTTCATTAGAGAATACTACAGGCACACAGGACCTAGACTCCTGTCATGACGCTACTCGCCATTACTCTTGGTTATCCATTGTTATTGTACATTGAATAGTTATTTGTGTAGTCCTATGGTTTAGTTGATTTCCCCCCAGGATGCCTTAGACTAAATAATGGAACACTCAGTTCTCAGTACAAAACATTGTGTCATAGAATCTTTGGAGCCTTATTCCCTGCTATTCTGTAGACGTTGGCTGTCCTCCATAGGCCTATGTATAAAATGAAATTAGGTCATGGTAGAGGGGCTGGAAGTGGATACTTGGACTAACGTTGTTCTTCTGTGATTCTCTGTTTTTAGTCTGTCATGAGGAAAACCTCAAAGGGAAAGTCTCTCTAGTATTGTAGATAATATTGATGATAGAATTTTAGGTCTCTAAGATAAAAGCACACACAGTAGATAAACTAAGAGAGACCATGCAAAATGATCCAAGATATATTTAAGGAATTTTCAAGAAAGTCAGGACTTCATTAAAAAAATTAGGAATAATGTAAATACTTGAACAAGGGGCTGTTAATAGCTGTAATAGTAGAAAATCCCCCAAACCTGCTATGTTCTTCCATGACATGCTGCCTAACCACAAGCCCAAAGCAATAGTGCAAGTGAACATGCACTCCCAAATTATAGAAAAACTTCCTATTTATAAATTTATTGTCTCCAGTATTTTGTCACAGTGTCAGAAAATGACAAATTGGTTACTGATGAGAAGATATTCTTCAGTGTAGTGCTGCCTTATTAGTTCAAGTTCAAGCTGAAGTATTCTATACCTGGTATAATATGAGCATGACATAAGAGTTTAATTCTTGACTCCTGAAAACAAGCATATGCTGTAGAAAATAAGCTTAGCATATAATATTTAAGAAACTAAAAAGAATATCCTAAGGAGAAATACTCAAAGCATATATTAATATATATCTTTTTTATTATATGGTCATGTAAAACATGCTTTATCACAGAATTGGTTATGCAATTGTAAAAAAAACACAAATGCTCATATACTAAAAAACATAAAAATAGACAAGTTAAATGTGTGATGTATATCACCCTGGTATTCTTTGATCATACTACAAATAACAACATCTAAATTTCATTTAATACTTCACATTAATTCATTCACATCTTATATCAGTATATTACTGGTCTATAAAAATGTTTATACAGTACAAAATATTATATTAAGACACATAGATCAGCTAACCAATTTACTAACATTTCATATTTAGGTCCTTTTGTTTTTTTTCCATAAAAGGCACTAGACAAGCTCTGATTATACTCTTTGCTCAGGAGGATTAAGTCAAAGGGAACACACATTTTCAGGGTTTCCACACATAGAATAAATGACAACCTAGACTCCAGCAAAGTGAAACAATTCATATCACAACTGGCACAAAGGAAAATAAGGTTTGAAAATTCTAGCTAGCTATTCTTCATGCTGTAAAACAAGAACACCACAGAACACCACAAAAATCCCAGACATGAGTAACCTCAAATTTTCATGTTTATCCAACTGTTTAATTAATTAATTTAATTTGTAATAAGAACACTTAAAAGGAAAAAGAAATATGCTACAGAGCTCATTGGTGCTGTGAAGTCATATGAGGAAGAATACATCAGGGCACAGCCTTTCCCGCCATGACAGATGGCTGCCCTCACAAACTTTGTGAGACTTTGTTAGTGTAAGGCCGGGATGAAATACTTGACAGAGAAAATTTCATAAAGGAATTCAAAATAAGAAATTCTGTTCCTCACCATGTCTGCAGAGAAGAAAAAATCACGAATTTAAAGACCCATTGTGACATACATATATGAATTCCACCCATCAGAACAGTATTGCCACTATGGAACCAGAGTGATAATAAGTACTTTGCTTGGTCACTGAAGAATTCACATAACAGAGAACTGCCAACTCCCAGAGGAAGAATGCAAGAAGATGACTGAAGCAGCCAAAGGCATATAGAAAACAAGCTCCCTGGGAAAACACATTTCCCCAAATCGCTATGCTTTGCCAGTGCAAGATGGAAGTGTATAGAGAAGAGTGCAGTGCACCTGAGACCTTGCATATAGGCACATGCCCATCTAACACTGTCCAAGTCCTGACACAATGGCCCTTCCCTGGTCTCTCCTCTCTGTTACCTTCCGTGCTTTCTCTTTGTCTCTTTCTTAGAGAAAGGCTGATAGTCCACATAGCCAACAAGATTCTCCTTTTACTCCATGGTGTACTAAAGTACTGAGCTGCAATTTCAGACCATTCTCCTCAGTTTGGCTCACTGATTGGTACAAAATTACCTGCAGAGCCACCCCACAGAGAGAAGACATCAAAATACTTGGTCAGTTTCCTTCAGGTTGCATGGGCTTTGGAGAAAGAGACTAAAAGCACCTTGGAAAGCTCCTGACAAGATGTCTTGCTCAAGGGTAGTCTGTAGATGGCAAGGCCAGGGCATGTGTTGACCTCAGATTGATGACCAAAGCAGACTGGGGTTATAAGCTTTATGAATCAGAGCCCAAACAGGAGATTTAGGCAGTGAGCTCAAGCCAAATGTGAACAAAAATAGGTATGACCTCAAAAGCAGAATCAGACCTAAGCAAAACTGTCTGAATCTGAGTGTGCAGAGTCTGACAAACCTGGAAAGCATGGATGATCTAGCTCTCCTCTTCTCAGCATCTCTGAAGGTAGAGTTAAATCACTACAGTAAAGTGAGGCAGCTCTTTGACAACCAGGGGTAGTGGCTAGTGCCTCTCAATTACTTATCAAGCACCCCAAGTTTGCTCCTCTGTTGCCATGTCTAAGAAATTCTGAATTCAGAAAACTTTAAAAGACTGCTCAAGAAAGATGTGGTACTCAAAACTTCTTATTTTGTATTTATGAAACTCAATGCAATATTTGACTATTGGAAACTTACTTCTCTGATATATGCAAAAGAATACAGTGAAGAGCCAGGTGATGGTGGCTCACACCTGTAATCCTAGCTACTCAGGATGCTGAGACCTGAAAATCATGGTTCAAAGTGATAGAGCACTCACCTTGCGCTGAAGAGCTCAGGGACAGTGCCCAGGCCCAGAGTTCAAGCCCCATGACTGACAAAAAATACAGTGAAGCAAACTTACTGAATATGGCCTTTGTAGGATTATCTTGCACTCCTCCAAGGAAATGGAGTAGCTGATAGATATTTATGTGCATCTCAGCCATCTCTTCTAGGTGTCTGTCTTGAGAATCATTTTCAAGAGCTGAGTAATATAATTTTAAGCAATTTTTTTATATAACAGGAAGCCCAGAGAGACAACACACAGCTACCTAAATAACTGATTGACCTTACTCCTGCCTTCAGAATACTGAGTTTGAAAATGTCACCACTCATTAAATACACATTTGTTATATTCAACCTAATTATAATTGAGTAATATGTGCAATGGATCTTTACTTAAAATAGACCTCAGATTCATCTACTGGGACTTGACAAAGGCCTCAATTCCATCTCTATGTCAAAGAAAATTGTACTTGGTAATCCCTACAGATTTATATGCTTATATATATATATAGATAGATAGATAGATAGATAGATATAGATAGATATATAGTTAAGGCAAGACTTCTCATACGTAAGTGAATGGAAAAAGAAATTGGCCTTTCAGCTTCTGATAAAGAAACAGAATAACGTCTCATTTTGTGTTCATTGAAACTATCAAAATGAACTGGGCACTGGTGGCTCATGCCTGCATTTCTAGCTATTCAGGAGGCTGAGATATGAGGATTGAAGTTCAAAGCTAGCTCATGGAAAAAGTCCCTGTGAGACTTTTATTTTCAATTAATCACCAAAAAACCAGAAGTGGCACTATGACTCAAAGTAGTAGAGTGCCATTCATGAGCACAAAAGTTTAGAGACAGTGCCCAGGCCCTGAATTTAAGACTATGACTGACAAAAATAAAAAATGAAATAATTTTAAAAATAAGCCATAATAAAACTTACCTAAAGGAGGATTTCCAAGATCTTGAAAATAAGTGGTTACACTTACTAATTCATTTTCCATCTTCAGGTTCAATTCTCCATTTTGGTTTGCTTCAATAATCTAGAAATTAAGTATTATAAAAGGGTCTTAAAATAAAAAAGAAACACAAAATAGAAAAATATATGGATCAGTCTCCTCAAGCCAATTGAAAAGGTACTCCTGTCAGACCTACAACCCTCAGAAGCCACCAAGATAGAGCTGTGTCAAGAAGAAAGGGAAGATAACACATGGAAACTCGCAACTCAGAAATCTCTCAAATCCAACACAGGCAGAGAGAATGTTCCCAGTGCAAAACTCAGCAGAAAAATGTGAACCACAGGAGTGGAAGGCTTCTTCCTTGGAGACTGTGAGACAGATGAGTGCTCTGTAGGCATGGGCAGAGTGATCAGAGCTCCCTTATACCATGAGGCACTGCTTAGGCACAGAGCCAAGAAAGGGTGCCCAGTGAGCAGGCCAGATACACTTGGAGTTCAGGGAAGGATGGTTACAAAAAGGGAAAAGAAATAATGATTCTTCAAAAGTGCCAGTTAGGTGACTCCAAAAGATTCTGAGTGCCTTTATAATTGGTGTATTCACAGTGTAAAGAAATTATGAAGCTAAAAATTTATCTTGGTCCATTACCAAATCGACAATGAAACCACCTTCTAAAACTTCTGAAAGAATTTCAGTAATGGACTGTGACTGAAAAGTACCCTAGATAAGTGCCCAGTAAATAAGTGGGCTAAAGACATAAAGAGAAACTTCTCTGAAGAGGAAATAGGAATAGCCAATAGAAATATGAAAAAATGTTCAACTTCTCTAGCCATAAAATAAAGGCAAATCAAAACAAAATTGAGATACCACCTCACCCCAGTTAGAATGGCTATAATCAAGAAATTTAATAACAACAAATGCTGGAGAGGATGTGGCCAAAAGGGGATGTGGGAATGTAAACTTATTCAACCACTTTGGAAAGCAGTATGGAGGATCCTCAAAAGACTCCACATAGAGCTCCCTTATGGCCCAGCAATCCCACTTTTGGGCATTTGCCCAAATGATCACAAACAAGACCACCCTAAAGCTACCAGCACAACTATGTTTATTGCAGCATTATTTACCATAGCTAAGATATAGAACCAATCAGTAGATGAATGGATCAAGAAAATCTGGTATATATACACAATGGAATTATATGCCTCCATCAGAAAGAATGACATTGCACCATTTGTTAGGAAATGGAAAGACTTGGAAAAATTATATTAAGTGAAGTAAGCCAGGCACAAAGAAACATAGGTCTCATAGTTTCCCTTATTTGCAATAACTAGTATGTGTCCGCAACAAGCAGAAAAGTTCAGATAAGATGATGTTAGGCGAAATGAACCCCAAGATAAGGACACAAGTGATTTTTTCTTTCTTGCTATTGTTTCTAACATATAAGGTGATTTATTTGTTACTTTGTATGTCCCTCCCCCACGTTATATCCCCTGTGTTCACTTTATTTGATGTTGGTATAATTTGGTGAGTGGAAAGGAAAAAACAAATTGAGTAAATAGGGATACTGGTGGACCTATTGCAACAAGGAGATGTACAAGACACTATGTTGAAAAAACGAACTTTAAAACTTTGGCTGGGGGCGGGGAGTGTAGCCGTGGAGATGGGAGGGCAGGGACTGTAGGGGAAACACAAAGGAGGAGGCAACAATGCTTGATAAGAAATGTACTCATTACCTTGCTTGTGTAATTGTGACTCCTCTGTATGGTATTTTCTCACTAAAAAACTTATTTAAAACAAAATATTGAGATTCCATCTCACCCCAGTTAGAATGGCTATAATCAAGAACTTTAACAACAACAGATGCTGGAAGGGATGTGGACAGAAGGGAACCTTACTTCATTGTTGGTGGGAGTGTAAACTTGTTCAACCACTTTGGAAAGCAGTATGGAAGTTCCTCAAAAGACTCCACATAGAGCTCCCCTATGACCCAGCAATCTCACTTTTGGGCATTTACCCAAATGATCTCAAACAAAACCATACTAAAGCTACCAGCACCACTATGTTTATTGCAGCATTATTTACCATAGCTAAGATATGGAACCAACCCAGATGCCCTGCAGGAGATGAATGGTTTCCCTTATTTGCAATAACTAGTATATATGTGGGAGCAGCAGAAAAGATCAAAAGCTATGTACAATGACCAGATAAGATGATGATAAGTGAAATGAACTCCAAGATAAGGACACAAGTGGTTTTTCCTTTCTTTCTATTGTTTCTAACATATTTATAAGGTACCATGTGATTTTTGTTTCTTTGTATGTTCTTCCCCACAGTATAATCCCTGTTTTCACTATATTTGATGTCAATGCTCTGCATCTTGTATATACACTTCTCTAATTTGTGGAAGGGAAGGGAAAAAACAAAATGTTTAAATAGGAATACAGGTTGACCCATTGTAACAATGAGATTTACAAGACACTATGTTGAAAAACAAACTTTACAATTAGGCAGGGGTGGGGTGAGGGGGGAGTGCAGTTGTGGAGGTGGGAGGGAAGGAATGGTAGGGGAAAAACAAAGGAGGAGGTAATAATGCTTGATAGGAAATGTACTCATGTAACTGTCACTCCCCTGTACAGTATTTTTAAAATAAAAATGTATTAAAAATAAACAATAATAGCAACTACTGCACACTCAGAAACCTTCCAATATTCTATACACAAATGTAGACTTTTATTTCTAGAAGAGTACCAAACTCTCTGTCATAGTTATACATTTAACAAATTACTTATTTAAAATATACTTTTGTGTTGGAAAATTATATTTCCAGATTCAGAAAGGTCTCAGGTGCTCTCGGGATGGAACAGCTGCAGTGTTTTTCCCTCCTTTTTCGAGTGCACACAGTACAGTTGAGGAGGAGACTGAGCCACCAAGTTTTCCTCACTTCTCTCCAATAAGTATCTACTCTTCATCCCTGCATCTTTGGCATCCCCTGGGACCTATTCAGAAGACCAGGACCTGGGCTGAGCTCACACCTTTGGTATAGCACGAACACCTTCATTCACAAGAAGCTGCCGTCACATAAAAGCAACCCAAGCAAGCTAGACCTCAGTCAATCCTTTTTCCTTTCCTTCATAACTTACAATGTGATTATTGATGTGTTTCATTTTTTCCACAAAATTCTTCAGAGTCTTCAAGACTGGTAAATAAATGCTAACCTATAATATAAATAAGAGAAATCACCAGTATTAAAAGTATTAGTATGTTCTAAAAATGACTTTACAAGGTTAAGAATTCTGAAGACACTGATTACAATTTTTGAACAAAATTCTTTTTAATATATGAAAGGTACTTTTGTAATTTCACTAGCTTACAAATGTTCAAGAATAATTAAAAAACAAATGCTTGTCTGTAGTGACCTATGCAATACCAAACCAAAGGCCTTTTTAAAATTTAATATGGGCTACATCATTTTAGATAAGACACCCATACACAAACTCAAAAAAAATGAGTCCAAGTACTAACAGAAAACCTTCCTCTGAGGAAGATTTCTAGACAAGAAATCAGGGCCTTATTTTCACATTCAGTGCAAAAATAAAGCAAGCAATTACTGAGAATGTGTTGCTAAAACTGCTTCACAAATTGCTGGCTTTTCACACAGTCAGTGATATCTCATGCTGTTAATCTTAATCACCAAGAAAGCTGAGATCTGAGGATCCCAGTTCTTAATCAGTTTATGCAGACAGTCCCACTACCCACTTATCTCCAATTACCCAGCAGAAAATGAGAAATGGAGATGTGGTTCAAATGGTAAAGCAGAAAAAAGTTTAAGCCCCAGTACTAGCATGGGAGGAAAATGTTGGCCTTTTACAATTCAGTGTAGATGTCTTCTAGTGAAAGTCAAGTAAACACTTTATTTACTGCATAGTTTTTATTTCCTCTTAAACAAATTGTGAGGTAGAGGTAGAGGACATTTTAGCATGATGTTTATTTTCAGTAGTTCTGTTTTTCCCAAGCAGGACATTTCACTCAAATTCTGTTATCAAATGGCTCTGTTTATACATCCTAGCATTAAGTCCTATAATTTCCAAATTGGTACCTAGCCCCAAAAGTCCTAATAAACACCAGCTTACTGAGAAAGCTATTCCATTTTGTATGTGTCCAGATTATTAAATTTCTATTCTTTATAACGGTGCTTAAAGGTGACACATAAATAACAAAAGACAAATATTCAGATTTCGTTTCCTAGAATATTCATTAAATATGAATATTATGTTCTTTTCAGAAAAATTTTTTCAATAAAATATTCTGAAAGGCCACAACCAGGGTATTCTTATCTTCCCTTAAATGTCATTAAACAACAGAATTTCAGGTATCACTTACATCCAAGTCTGGAACTATGGGTTCTTGTAGTTCAATCCAAAAATTTGTAGGGATAACCACTATGGGGAAGTAATATGTCATTGTGCGACTCCTGTTTGATTCAGGTAACTGCCATGAAAAGTTAAAATATTTGATGTTGTCAATATGTAACAAAACCAAAACCAATGAAATGAAGGCAAAAAATTGAAATACCATGTCTAAGTGGTATGTTCTCAATTCACTAACTCAGAATCTACTCAACACATATTGATATTTTGTCTATTCCACTCTGGGATGTGAGGAGCTGGTAACTGTACTGAATAAGACAAAAAGGTCCTGGATGTTCCAGTGGAAGGAAGGAAAATAGTAATAAAAATAGCAGACACAATGTGTAAGACACTCATTAGAGCACTGAAGAAAACACAGCAGAAACCAGGCTGAGGGAGGGGGTGGTTGCTATTCAATGAGAGCAAGAATGAACTATGTGAAAGCATGACACAAGAACTAGAGAAGCAGAGAGCCATGGGAAGATGGGATTGGTTAGCAGCCTTGAAGCAGGGAAGGGAATGACATACAAATCTGTGAGATGGAAAAGCAAATGAGCTATGCTCAGGAAAACCCAGAGATCATGTTTGTGCAAAAGATCAACATTGTGGTGATTTCTAAACTGCTGAAAGGATAAACTATGCTTAGTTTTTTCTTTGATTTTTTTATTAGGCCCACAGACCAAAGAACCACCTTGCTTGTCCTTAAGAAATTGTAAGAAATTTAATTTCACATGGATTTCTCTGATTTCCTCTAAGAACTTCCTTAGTGCAAAAAATTCAGAAAAAAAGATGAAAATGATGTCCTCTTTTCCCAACATATTAAGCCCAAATACAATACTTGTGAAATAAAATACATTAAATATGTAAGTAAGAATGGAAGGATCACAGAGGCATTCTGTTCAAAGAGGGGTTTTGGAGTGAAGGAAAGAGACTCCAATAAGCAGGCCCCAAACTGCCAGTCTGGAAACTGAGGAAGAATGTGTATCATCAGAGAACCAATGAGAAGGGTGTTCATTTGTGATCTGATTCTAAACTAGATCAGGCCATACACAGAAGGCTTTAATCACCATGTTAAGTCATAATTTTCCCCAGGAATAGTATTAATCAGTTTCTTCTGTGTCCTCAGATTCTATGGATTTGTGTACATTTATGTATTTAATATCTCTACATATTTTTACATACATAGTGAGTATGTTTGACTTGGGATTTTTATTATTTAAATATACACAGATTAAAAAATTAATTCCAGAATTGGTTATTAAAATGTATATCCACATCTAATAACTCAGAATGTACATTTACAAAGATCTTACTTTTAATTTAAAGGAATGAAATATTTTCAATGTTCCATTCAACTATTTAGAAATATTTTCACTGATACTTTATTGTTTTCTTTTTCTGAAAGGTCAGTGTATGATTATGTTAGCTTGGAAGATACAGCTCCACTATCTCTCTCAAATAGTTTTGGGCATTATTCATTGCTACTTAACTTTCAAGGTATTATGTAAAAATGCACTCAAACCATTGCAAAAAAATAATTTCATTATATTATTTTAAAATGCATGCTAAAAAGAGAAAGAAATATGAACTTCAGGCAGATGAGGTAGGATGAAATTTCAAAAGTGCAAACAGAAATTGTTTTCTACTACTAAAGAAAACAGAGATGCTGGGAGTTTTACTGTTTAGAAAGGGCAAAATCCAAGATGCATATTTTTCATCACATTTTTTAAATTAGAAGGATGAATAACAAACTCTGAGAAAATTTTATGTACCAGAGTCTTCATTAAAAATTAATTTTCAACAATATTAAAATACCAGACCCACAACTACTTACATTTCTTCCAAACCAAGACCCTTGCAAGAAATTACAGAAACCATTTTCCTTCTACTCACCTGCTTTATACAGAACTTGAGGATCCCAGAGTATTTATTAATGAACTTGATTCTCAAGGTTTCAGTACTGTGGGGAGTGTTCACCACTCGAGTTATGTTTTCCAATTGTACTTGTAAATATATCTCATTATACTCTGCAGAGATGCCTTGCATTTGAAATGTGCTGAAAAAATTCTCCTATGGGAAGCAAAGAAGCACATGTGAACGCTCAAGGGAAGTAGGTGGAGCATGGGGATGCTCAGGCTCCTGCTTACCTGTGGAAGCTCACACCACAAGCTTGCCCCTCCACTTTCTGGGCTCCCCAAAAGAATGAAGTTCAGTTTATCCGGGCAGATGTGGAGGATGCATCCTTTGGCAAGGTTGGTTAACATGTTAATGACTCCTAGAACAAAGAGTAAAAGAAGTTACTCATTCGCACATTCCCTATCCTAAGGGGCATTTTAGCTTGCAAAAGTTGGAGTTCGGCAAAGCTCAGCTTAGTATCCCCAGGAAAATACTTTGAAGTCATCTAGTGTCCCAACAAACTTAAGGAATTTAGCACCTTCCATCCATGCTCATTAAAGAAACTGAGGCTTAAGGAAGCCCTTAACTGGAAATCATACAATCCATGAAACTTAATTACCACTGGATACATGGCACAACACTGGAAGAAAGGTATGGCACCCAAGTTTCAACAGTCTGGGCTGAGGGGAAAATAGGGTCTGCCTGCAAAGGAATGACTACCAGAGATAAAGATTGTCAGTTTTTTTTTATTCTTTTTTTAAAATTTATTTTATTTTATTTGTGAACCTACTGTACAGAGGGGTTACAATTACATGGGCAGGATAATGCGTACATTTCTTACCAAGCATTGCAGCCTCCTCCTTTGTTTATCCTTCACATCCCTTCCCAGCCTCCCCCCTCCCCCCCAGTCCCAATCCTTCCCGCCCCCCCCCCGCACCAACATTGGAAAGCTCGTTTTCGACATGACAACTTATACTTCTCATTATCTTCCCCCTACGGTATATCCTCAGTTGTCACTGTATTTAACTTTGGTGCCCTGGTATTATATATACATTTACCTGAATTAGGGAAAGGAAGGGAAACAACAGAATGGTGAGACAAAGGACAGGGGAGGGGGGGGAACCAATATAACAGTGATATACACAAGACAATATGTTGGAACCGATCGGTACAACCTGGGGGGGGGCGTTGGAGGCGAGGGAAAGTAGGAGAAACTTGAGGGAAGGGGAAACAAGGTTGACAAGAAATGTGCTCATTACTCCTCTGTACATCACCTTGACAATTTAAAAAAAAGTTAAAAAAAAAAGATTTCCCGGCATGGGAGTAATTCTAGCTACTCAGGAGACTGAGATCTGATGATCGCGTTTCAAAGCCAGCTCCGGAAGGAAAGTCTGTTAAGACTCTTCAATTATCCACCAGAAAATCGGAAATGGGGCTGTGGCTCAAGGTGGTAAAGGGCTAGCCTTGAGCGGAAAAAGCTCAGGGGCAGTGTGATAGCTCCCAGACCAAGACTTAAAGCCCCAGAACCGACAAAAAAAAAAGAAAGAAAGAAAAAGAAAGAAAGAGAAAGAAAGAAAGGAAGGAAGGAAGGAAGGAAGGAAGGAAGGAAGGAAGGAAGGAGAGAGAGAAAGAGAGAGAGAAAGGAAGGAAGGAAGGAAGAAAAGAAAGAGTGAGAGAGAAAGAAAGAAAGAAAGAAAGAAAGAAAGAGAAAGGAGAAAAGAAAAGAAGAAAAAAAACATGCCGACTGGTGTAGTGAGAGAGAAATTGCGTGAGAGGAATGGAATTCCAGAAACTTCCATGGGCAGCGTCCCCAGCCTACTCTTCCTCTTTCATGCCTTCCTGGGTATAGAGTTCCAGAAACTTCCATCCACTGTAGCCTTTCTCCCAGCAGTGTCTACTTAAGCAGGCCTCACCCACCGCTAGGGCTGCCCCCTGCCGGGGTTGGGGGGTTGTCACCAACAACCTTCTTCCTCCTTCAAGGCCTCCCCAGCCCAGACTGCCTCCTTTAGGGCCCCCTGGCTCCCACAGTCCTCCCAGCTCACTCTTAAAGTCATCCAGGGAATGCTTGTCCACAATCTCGGCATTGAACCTCATAGCTGCGTCCGCCCAAGGCCCACTGTGCTGTGGCTTTGACCGCAGGCGTGCTTTGACCGCAGGCGACCAAGCGTCGGTTTCTGACCGTCCACCCGGAAACATTCCTCCTTGCAGAAGACGACTTCCACCCAGATATGCAGTCAGGCTGCGCATGCGCTAATTAGGGGCAGCTGAGCCCCACTTCCCAGCCTACCCCACCTCTGTTCACTGAGCAGTTTATTTATGCTTTATTTATTAGATTTTTTTGGCATTTAGCAGCATGTGTGTCTACAACCCCAATGTCTAGGGACATGGTTCTGGAAATCGTATTTTGTAAAACCTTCATTCTTAAAGACTTCCAAAGGCAATCAATGGTTTATAAAGGATTAAACAAAGTATAATTAAATATGTCTATTTGAAACTCCATCTAACCAGAGTAAACGTGTTACAAAATGGAACATCTTGTTGACAGTTATGAAAATTTCTGGGAATATTAGTAATGTGGAATTTGCCACTATTAAAAATGGTGTGAGTACAGAATATTGATGCTAAATGATAATTTTGCTTCCATTATTTGATGTGAATGTTACTATATCTGATATACTTCTTACTAGCATAAATACCAGGATTAGAATTTTTTGAATTGATATTACTAGCTAGAGTACCATAGGGGTAGTAATTTGATTGTTCAAGGACTGTCTATTTCTAGCCAGAAGCAGGTATCTCACTCCTATAATCCTACTTCAATTAACCAGCCAGAAGGCTGAGACTAAAGTGATAGAGCACTAGCTTTAAGCTGGAAAAATGTTACTGTGTTAAGTTTATTGAAGAATCTCCAAAATGCCTTCCACAATGGTTGAAATGTTTACATTTCCACAAAAAGTTTAGTACAGTTCAGTTTCACACCATTCCTGCAAGCATTTGGTATTGCTCATATTCTTGATGATCCCATTCTTACTGGAGCAAGATGAAATCTCAGTGTTGTGATTTGCATATTCTTCATGACTAGAGATAAGTTAGCATTTCTTCATGTGTTTATTTCTCATTGTTGCTTTTTCCTCTAACAACTCTCTATTCAGTTCTAGGTTATTGAGACTTTGAGGGTTTCATTTTCTGAGCTCCTTGGATATTCTAGGTATTAGAACCTTGTCAATGAATAAGCTGGCAAATATCTTACCCCATTCTGCCAACTGCCTTTTTAGCTAAGTAACTCAGTCTTCCACTGTGCAGAAACTTTTCCCCTTAATGTAATCTCATTTGTAAATTCTCTTTCCTATTTTCTAGGTCCCTGGAATTCTATTTAGAAAGCTTTTTCCTACTCCTTCGTGTAGTAGTTTTCAAGTTTCAGGTCTTACATTAAGTTGTTTGTGTTCATTTTGAGTTGATATTAGTAGCTAGGGTACCGTAGGTGGGGGTACTGTTCTGGGGCTTGAATTCAAGGCATTGGTGCTATCTCTGAGCTTTTATGTGCTCAAATCTAGCAGTCTACCCTTTTAGTGACAGCTCTGTTTCTATCTTTTGGGTAGCTTATTGGAGATAAAAGTCTCACTGACACTATGTTGAAAACAAACTTTACAACTTTGGTGGGAGAGGGTGGAGTTGGGGAGGTGGGGAGGGAAGGGATAGTAGGGGAAAAACAAAGGAGGGGGAAACAATGTTTGATAGGAAATGGACTCATTATCTTACTCATGTAACTGTAAGCCCTCTGTACAATATTCTTACAATAAAATATTTTTTAAAAGTCTCACAAATGCATGAGGCCCTGGGTTCGATTCCTCAGCACTGAATAAACAGAAAAGGCTGGAAGTGGCACTGTGACGCAAGTGGTAGAGTGCTAGCCTTGAGCTGAAGGGCTTAGGGACAGCATCCAGGCCTAGAGTTCAAGCCTCACAATGGATCAAAAAAAAAGGTCTCACAGACTTTCCTGGCCTGCCTGTCTTTGAACCCTAGCCTCTGATCTCAGCCTCCTGTGCATTAAGATTACAGGCATGAGCCACCAGCACCTAGCATTTTATATACATATAGTATATATATTGTGTGCATATTATATATATAGTTATTTATTATATTTACTTAGTTATTTTGAAACTGGTAAGAAGCGTGGAAGAATACAGAACAAATCATAGTTGTTATATATCATTCAACAATTATGTGTGACTTACATAAGACAAAGTTTAAAATGTTTTAATTTTTTTATTGTGTTGGAAATTGAACCCAAGACCATATATTTGCTTGACATATACTGTATCAAGAATCTACATCCCAACCCTAAAGCTCCAAAACTTACTCCCAGATGCAACTAACCTATACTTTCCATAATTCTAAAAATTATTTTACTTAGTTGTAAACTTTGTTTAAGTACACTTAAGTATTATTATTTTTAAGTAGTAATGGTAACTACTATTCCTTCTGGTAATAATTTCCAGGTTCCTGGTCTTATATTGAAATCCTTATTGTATTTTGAATTGATTATTAATACAGAGTGACAGACAGACAGGAATTCAATTCCAGCCTTATGCATATGAATATCCAGTTTTTCCAACAGCATTTGTTAAAGGAGCGATGTTTTCTCCAACATGTATTTTGGTTTCTCTTGTCAAATAGCTGATGCTGTAGGTGTATAGGATAAATTCTGGGTCTTCTAGCCTGTTACATTGGACTTCAGGACTATATTTGTGCTAATACAAAGCTGTTTATGGTACTATAGAACTGTAGTTAATTTTAGATTCTTGAATTGTGATATCTTTCAGTATTTTTTCAAAGATTTATTTGATGACTCAAGGCCTTTTGTAGTTCCTTATGACATTTGGATTGTCTTCTACATCACTGTGAATAATATTTGGGATTTGAATTTGCCCATTGCCTGAGGCAGTGTGTGTTTTTTATGATATTAAGTTTCCATTCTAAGAATAAGGGAGATCCTTTAAATTATTTGATCAAAGAGTTATAGGTTGGACAAATGGGATTGCAAGAAATTGCAGAGCTTCTGCATGGCAAAGGATATAGCTAGCAAGATCAATAGAAAGCCCACGGATTGGGAGAAAATCTTCATTAGCATACAACAGACAAGAGTCTCATATCTAAAATAAACCTGGAACTCAAAAAATTAAATCCCCCAAAAACAAATCGTCAAAGAAACAACTGCCCAATAATTAAGTGGGCTAAAGACTTAAAGAGAAACTTCTCTGAAGAGGAAAGAAGGATGGCCAATAGACACATGAAGA